GGATCTTGCAGTCCAACTTTTCATGAATTTATTACCTATACGTATTATGTTATTGTATCCATTTTTTGTCGTACCTCATTTTTCTACATAATTGCTATTTAACTTATCAAAAACAAAAAGGCGAAAGCAGTATACTATTTCTAAAAGTCCGAAAGTCTGCTTAATTTTCATATTTAAGGGCACCAATTTGAGAATATCTAAATTCATGTTTAGCCATTTGGACCTCTGCAGGACCTTATCAATTTATAATTAACCCTTTTCTGGTTGAATGTTTCTTGGGCTGTAGCGTAGGGCCCCGTATATATAAAAGACCCCCAATCCCATTGAAGACAATCAATGATATTGTAAATTTAGAAAATAAAAAAACAATCTAAATGTTTTATAATTTATATGTAACAATTGCTTTTTTCCTATTATTAAAGGAAATAATTTTCTGAAAAAATGATATAATTAGTTTGATTAATTAAATAGGCTTCAAAGTAGAGTTGGTGTAGGGTCCCCCATATTCACGGACTTTCCCTACTTACTACCTACAAAAAAAATTAACAAAAGTATTGAGAAATACGTAGATAAGATGTAAATGCGAAAAAATCAGTTTTTAGTTTGCCCCGGATGGTTTTTAGCTTCTCCTGATTACACAGTCCGGCTACGGTTTTGGAATAATTTTATTTTACGTACAAAATATTCACAGCCCTCACGATTATCATCCAGATCATTGTATTTTTTCAAATTTCGCCAGTAAAAGTGAAATATGGATATTGGATATACTGTTTTCATTAGTGGGTACATTGATGTGAAATAATTTTAGCGATCCACTCTGTAACGTAGCCGAATGTGATGTCTGCATAGACTTTATATGGATGTCTGGTCCAAAAAAGGTCGAATGAGAGCAACAAATTGAAGTGAACCAGACATGATCCCTTCGCCCTCTGCCCGATTGTAATCGTTACACACACACACACACACACACACGTACCAACTTGCACTTAAACACGTGTGTATGCAGGTCCATTATCTGAAGTACACAGTCCGCGAGCTTGGGACACTTTTATTTTTCTGTTTGACTTCTTGCTTTTGAACCGCGTGATGTGTGTTTTGCAAAGAGAGTGAAGACAACGAGAGCGTCTGCGAAAGGAGGTCAATTACCAGCGTCGTGTCAGGACACTGACCTTTATCAAACGCAGGGTTGTTGCGATGCGTCGGGAAAAAATTCACTCATTTTGGTCCGTATTGTTGTGGTGGTTACATTCGAGGAAAATCTGCAAATGGCGCGGAATTAACACTTTTTGGGATAGTCTGTGATTGTTTTAGAAACGAGGATCTCATTATTACATTTCGCCTATCTCTGTTCACTTTCAGTAACGTTTTGATTCAACTAACGAAAAGATGTTCTTTGAAAACCCCTAAAAGGACTTCTATGAAAACCAATGCCATTTATAATAGCATCTAAATTGTTTATAAACTACCAACGTTGAGAATTTGTATCAGATTAAATTCTAACTAAATAAAATTTAAATTAGAAGTAGTGATCTGCAGATTTTAGCCGCTTTGGTCATGTAATTTGTTAAAATTATATGATTGTACAAAAAAACTGACTAGCAACCAAATAAATCCGAAATTGTAACATACAAGGTATATAAGAACAAAGGCTTTCACGGCAGGAATCCATAGTAGAATGAAGATTCGGGCTATAGGGCCGTGGTCTAAGTGAACATTCCATATTCATTGGACAGAATAGTTCACTTAGATCACGGCCCTATAGCTCGAATCTTCATTCTACTGTACAAGCTTGTTTCCAAAAGTTCCTGAAATGTAGCGATATACATTTTATTCGTCACTGTCAGCTTCAAAATAGTCCCTTCGGAAATGTAGGATTGCAAATGCCGATCCCAGCAATACTTCTGCTTTGAAAAGAATGCATGCCGGAAGTGTTGTTTTGTTAATAAGTTCATTACTCCTTGTCAATTTGATACCTTTCCATTTCTTGATAAGGCAAAAGTCGTAAGGAGCCATCCGGGCGAGTAAACTGGAAGAGGAACAACGACCATGTTGTTTTTGGTCAAAAACTGCTGTATTGTGGCGGAAAATTCAGTAGTTTCTGTGCCACTTTTAAGGACGTGTCCTTCTCATATTCTCCACCAATCACCTTAAGACGTCGCGATTGAAGTCTACATAGTAGATACGAAATCTTTGCAAATAAAATCCAATCAGTTTAAAAGAAATAGGTCAGAAAGAGCTTGATGTTGCTTTTGATTTGATGGGCCTCTTTTTCGAGATGAATATGGACTTTTTCGTTGTAACGATTAATAGTTGATGTTTGCTTCGTGATCGTATGATTGTATCCATTAAATCCAACTTTTGTCACTTGTGACCATCATTGAAAGATAATCTGAATCAGTTCGCTGAGCTGTGAACTTAATTCTGTTTTCGTGACTTCATGCATGTTTATTAAGATTGCAAATGCTATCATTTAATGTTTCCGGTACTCGGCAAGACCACTACGGTTAATGAGACATGTCTTCGTTCGGGCGGGTTTTCCATTAAAAACCACCCTCATCAACGTCCCAAACCACATTAATTCTCGTTGAAAAAGACATTTAATAGCTAAACCACTGAAATTTTAATTCTTGGTTGGCGGATTTTTAACCAGTTGAGTTAAAGTGAGTCCATAATGTTTCATCTTTATCATAAGGTCGTCGGTCCTAAGACTGGTTGGACACGCACCTCCACTCGTTCCTATCTTGAGCTAATCTTCACATTTCACTAAACCTAGAACTTCCCATATCCTTAACTGTTTGCGAACACTAATCTAATCTAGATCTATCTCTACTCCTCTTAACTCCTGTTTCTGCCTCTAATATGTCTTTGACTAGACCTTCATGCCTGAGAAGGTGTGCTGCCAACCTATCTCGCCTATTTTATTGACTTCCATAGAGTCCTCTGTACTCCTATTCTTTCTAATACCTCTTAATTTCTAACCTTCTCTATCCACGGTATCCTCATCATTCTCCGGTAACAACACATTTCGAACGCTTTTAACTTTTTCTTTTCCGCCGCGCCCACCGTCCATGTTTCGCACTCGTACATCGACGCGCTCCAAACATATACCTTTAAATTAAATCTTTTTCGAATTTCTAAATTAACCGTTCACGAGCATAGAAGTGACTTCTTTTTACTGAAGGCGATTCGACCCTACGCTATCTTCTGCTGTATAACCCTACTGCTCCTTCCGTCCTGACTTAACTGACTTCCTAGATACCTAAAATAAGCCACTTCTTCTAATCTTTCGTCTCCTATCTTCACATTCGCTTTTTCCCTAGTTTTTCTTCCCATGCGTACCATAGTTTGCCTTACCTTGCATTATCTTACCTTGTTTATAAACACTAATAAAAGTCTATAAAAGGTGATCAACTCATGCTAATTAATTATCGTTAAACAAAATCTGATATTCCAACAAGCCACAGAAATTGTAGTAGTTCGACCATAATGATGTATTCTTGTTCACCATAAAAAGCAAACGGAAATATATATATCGAAGTAACATAATTTAGTATAGTAATTAATAAATAATATAAATTAGGATAAACGACCTATCCCAATACACTTTTAATTACCAGTTTTAATTAGGTAGGACTTTTCTTATACTTATTAAATTGTTATTGCTGGTGTTGGCATCTTTCTCTGGTAGAATTACCTGTCACAGCCGCGTACTCCGTGTCATTATCCTGTACCCGGCCGGATCCCAAAAAATGCCCGGCGGATCGGTATAGGAACCAAACTTGACCCTTCTAAGTTTATTGGACGTGTGTTACTTTATTATTAAATGTTACTATGAAAATTACTGAACGTATTTATACGAATTTTCCTGCATCACATCGTATTTTTCAAAAAATGATACTGCCTTTTATTGATTCCATTGCGGTTTTCAATTTGTATATACTTAAAAAGGCAGTAGTTTTTACAATAAATATTTCTACTAAATATTTTCGAAAAGGTCACTACCGCTACAAAAAGACAAGTGGCGTGAAATCCTCGGAGCAAGAGCCTAACTTGCTCTTGATTTTTTAATTTTTTATTGTGAAGTAATGCTACATACAAATAGTGGATTTTTTGAAATTATTTTGATACATTTAAGTTTCTCATCAATAAATAAAATGGGAGGAACATGCTAAGAAAATAAAAACGCCCTTTTTTTTCGAGTAATTTTATAGGGGTTGCTATCGAACGTTGCGTGAAGAAAAGAATCGTCGTTAAGCACTTGCTCAAATTATGTTCAAGGATAGCAGGTACCTTTTCGGTCAAGGATATGCACCCTCTTGAGACCTACCAAATTTCGAATCTTTATTCTTTCGAGTAACTCGTATAATTGCATTTTCCGATAAAAGAAAAGTTTTTACCTTGATAGGTCTCAGAAGGACGTAACTGAAAAGAAATCATCTGATTTAATAATTTTGTGTTTGAATGTATTCATTTTTATTAGAATGATGTAGATGGAAACCGCATAAACTATGATACAAATATGGAAAAACAGAGAATTTTAGTTAGAGAAAATGCTTGATGTATATTTTTTTTATTATTAATTTAAAATGCAATACCTACCACAACTTTTTTTCCTCAGTGTGTATAATAAGTTTGAAATGCGTGACGTAAAATTACGAAAGGCATGTGTTGCGACCTCTACTGTGTAGTAGTTCAATGTATTTTTGTATTAAACTAATAAGTATAACAAGATTTATTGAAATAACAACGTAGACAGGAAAGGTACAATATACAGCTAATTTACTACAGCGAAAGTTATTATTTTGACGAAATTTGGCACGTTGACAAATAGTTACCTATTTCAGACTAACTTTTGTTAGAAATCTGTACAATCTAGGTAGTTTGTCAGTCTACCTATAGATGGCGGTGATAGTACGAATTAAGTATCTATTAATGAAAACCAAACAAGGTCATGACGAAGAAGCAGCCATAGTGTAGCGTAATTCGTAAATATTCGGTAGTGATCGAATAAGAAACGCGGCCATATTGAAAAGTTTACTGAAAAACATTCGGTGCACGTGGAAAGTGAGGTGGCTTTACAATTTATTTGTGCCCTTTACTAACATATTTTGTGTGTTTTTTTCTTGTGAAACACTACCACATCCTGACTTTTGGATTTCTTCTATCAAAAGACGTCAATCAAGGTATGTCTCTTTAATGAATTTGCTTCTAATGAAAAGCCGGTCATTTTGATTGTATTCAATTAGATGAAGAATTTTTACAGAAAATATTAAAGTTGACTTTCAATTAGTCCCGGAACTATCTTTATAAATAATGTTTTTAAGGTTCCTTCGTGAGAATCAAAATTATCCTATTTAGGTTACCTTCATGGTGTTACTATTTCTGTCGTTCGTTGACAAATAAACCAGTAAATGACGGTAAATATTTTAACTGTCAGTTATAAGGATAATTAAATTTTACAATACTCAGTTCATATTTGGACGTGGCGTAGACAAATTATAGTCGATTACAATGATATCTCAAAATAGTTAGGTTATACTCAAGTAGTAATAGAAATTTCAAAATAAACTATCAAATACTAATTAAAAAACGTGGCGAATGTAGAATTGTCTTCTATTTTATAGATCTTGTTTACTAGTTAATAAATACCTATATTAATTGAGTAGTTTTGCATGCCTACCTACAGCCCCCTAAATACTGTTTTTAGTAAGTTGTATCTATAAGTAGTCCATTTCTACCCTTTATAGGTACTTTAAATATAGGGCTTCTAATATCGTGGAAATACCACCTTTGTTGCGATAGTAATTACGTACTTAATTGTAAAATTTAGTACTTAAATATAAATACTAGTAAAAACCAATCTATATTTATAGTAGTAACCTACAGATGTATATGTAATTGAAGTATAGGTAGGTACTAATTTTAAGTCTACATAATACCTATTATTTAATTGTAAGTGTGTACGAGATCCTTGAAAAATATAAATAAGATAGATGCTTGTAATCCATGGAAAAATTACATGTTTATATACAATAACGTGGTCTGAATTTTTTGGCGACTTAACATTAGCTTTGTTAGGATGGCCAAATCGTCACACGCATTTTCATACCTATCTGTCATTGATCGTATTAGATACATACTCAAATACTGTAGCGCCTTTTGACTTTAAATTAGATAATACAATACCATCATATTGAAATATTTGTAATTGTTACCCCTCTCCAAAAATGGGTTTATTTATAGGTTCCTACCGCAACCAGAAAATTAAGCACGCAATGTTTCTTTGTAAGAAATTTCTTTGTGCAAAATTTCATGCTTTCTAACTGAGCAATTTGGGCCGTGTCTTGATTGATGCATCAAACTTTGACTCCCCTTTTCATCCTTTTAGGGGTTGAATTTTAAAACTTCCTTTCATAGTGCTCGAGTACGTTGTCAAGTGTCTAGACTAGGGTTTTGGGCTGTGTGATGCTGTATCAGTCAGTTAGTTTATTCTTCTATACAGACGAGATAAAAATGTTTATTAAACATAGAAATTGCACTTTTCTTTGTGGCTATTTTTTCGCATTAATTGGTGAACGTGTAGAAATATCGGAAATCTGTCTTTGGAACTATCCAAACTCTCAAAATCAATGCATAACATTCCTAAAATTTGAATTTATTAATTTATATGTCGCACTAGCGAAAATGTCTAATTTAATAAATAAGGTAAAAGGCCCAGTTTCTGACACTCTAAGAGTGACAGCTGAGATTATATTACGATAACTAAAACAATATTTAATTAGAATAAATAATTTCTGATTGAATCGTCGAACGCCCTTCCGTAATTTGCTTAGACCATAACTAAAGAATGGCTTCCGCAGTCACTCCACACTTAAAGATTTTTTTTATTAAGTTTTCTTATTTTTTATTATTGTGCTTGTCATTAATTAGGTACAGAATAAATTTATTTTAATTTTTAAAAAAATTATTAACCCACTTAAGATCTTTTTTTTTTTAATTCAACATAAACCTAAAATTGTCAGAAACTGGGCCAGTGTCAATAACTGGGTCTTTTATCTTATGTGTTTTTTTATTTGTTTCTCTAAAAACTGTCCCTAAACTAATGAAACTCTCAAAATCTTTTGAACAATACATAATAAAGTTTTTATTTATTGTAAAACTGCATCGACCCTTCGCCCCAGATAAGGGACTTTCTCAAGGTATTTTGCTGTCATAGATTCCCATCAAACTTAAAAAAAAAAACATACGACTTTTTGATCAGCGACATAGGGAGCGTTCAAGTATTACGTAACGCAATTTTTGAAGATTTTTGACCCTCCGTCCCCCCTTGTAACGCGCCGTAACATTTTATGTACCCCCCTCCCTCTCTCTAAACGTTACGTAACACTCGAGTGACCATTTTTACCCAAAAGTCGCAAATCGTATAACATCATTTATATGTTCTATAAACNTTATTTTATTCAAATAATTTTTATTACATATTCGTAGGTACCTAATCATACCAAACCTAGTATTATTTACGATTGGTCACAATTCACTCATGGGTTGAACGAAAATCCTATTGAATTTAGGATTTCAACATTGTGTTTTATTTAATTCACTGTTTTGCGTAGTTTTATAGCGTATAATATGTAGATTCCCGTTTTAAGTCGAGGTCGATACGTTTTTAGCGGTCTAAAAAGAGCTCACCATTGTTCGTCTTCCACAGGATAAATATATGTATGCACGCTATTATTTGTACATCTTATTATTTAATAATGATTTTGTTGTCGTTTACATTGTCATTTGACCTTGTCTTTATGATAGTGACCAATTAAATACCGCGATAATGTTTTGCGATTTCGCTTATGTAAATCAGGATATGGTTGGTAGGGAAATCTATATTGATTTTTTTATATTACTGAATTTGATAAGATTACAAATATGTATGAGGCGATTGTAATTTTTTGTATGTCAGTTGAGGATTATTAGAATTTGATATGATATCTTCATACGAGATACTATCAATTTCTTCCAGAAACCCATATTCTTTATGTATACCTTCTATGTTTGTGTTCAATTTCGTAAGTGGATTATCAATTTTTAAATGATTTGATCGTTTATTACTACACTTGTTTCATAATTAAATCATGTGAGCAATTTTTAAACAGCTTTCATCACCCGATTTATATTTATAGTTTGGATGAATGGGTAGAATTAGGAATAGATCTGCAGGGCGTAGGGAGTAACTTTAACACTAAAGTTGTTATTCTGATAAGCCACACAATTAAATAGAGGAACAAAAAATTAACTCGAAAATATCCAAAGTACAAAATTGTAACTAGTAATTTCATTTTTATTAAACACTAGCTGTCCCGACAGACTTCGTACTGCCCCAATCGATATATAAAATTTTTGTATAAAATAAACTTAGTTGACAAATGTCAAATATTATGGTTGCGTTCAGAAATTTAATTTGACAAAACTTAAGATTTATCAATCTACATAAAAATAATCTGAAAGATAGTTAACAACTTTCATATTTATTCACCTTTTAAACCTTCCCTGGACTTCCACAAATAATTCAAGACCAAAATTAGCCAAATCGGTCCAGCCGTTATCGAGTTTTAGCGTGACTAACGAACAGCAATTCATTTTTATATATATAGATTAGATCACTCAATAGGTTTGATGTATTTGTTCTTAAGGATTATCAGGATAAAAGTTTCGAATTTTCTAGGTTAAACATACACTGTGTAGAAAAACTAGATAGTGTCCTTTATTGTCATGAAAAGAAATCCCTCGGGAACAATATCGTTTTTTTTTTTTAATAAAAGCTACCCTATGTCCTTTTCTGTGCCCCTCTCAATGTGTGTACAAAATTTCATGATGATTGGTGGAGTAGTTGAGGCATGAAATGGTAGCAAACAAACAAACACACTCGCATTTATAATATTAGTTAGGATATGTCACGTTATTTTAATGTAGAAACATATGTAATGCAGCAATTGTGGTAGCAGACGCATTGTGATTGTATTTTATTAGCTATAAAATATACCACGAACTTTGAACAATAGTGAAACATCAATTTTTAATCCGTTTTTATCTATAGGTAATAAAATTTGTACCGATTATTTTACGATTTATTAAAGAACAATATAGTATATATACAGGTACGTTTGTAGACGTTTTGTCTTATGTAAGCTTTGAAGGATTAGTTAAATATTTTTATAGCTACAATTATTTCAGTCATTAATATAATTCTTATCTTGGTCTGGTTATTGTGTAATCCTATGATCCGCTTTATAAGCGTTACGCTTATGATCACAAATAATTACGGCTTAGTTAGTTTATGATGATTTGTGAAAAACCTGACTTGACCAGGTTATTGTACTTCGTCATTTTATTCATTAGGACAATTATGAGAGTACAGCTGTCTTCTTTTTGTACTTGTAATGTTTTTTTATAATTTGCGGTAACGTAATCTTCCATATGGATTGCGCTCTTTAATTTCTATTACAAGTAAATATGGTCGTTTTTCTTGATTACTATACAACTTACATGCTTAAGAAATTATATTGCAGGATTGTTCACTAATACAGCATAATTCTTTTATTCCCTTTGATAGATCTCGTAAAATGTTTTGTGAGCTTTTGATTTCAAACCTTCAGCCACGATTACGAAATATTTGCTTTCTAATTAATCGTTGTAAAAGAGCCCCGTGCTAATTTTTAAACTATCGATGCAAAATATCCAAAATAATTGTTGAAAGTAGCCCTTAATTAGTATTTTCAATGAGTTTAATAACGAACAAGAAAACAAAATTACTCTTTTGTATTACGTTTTTCTCTGCCATTTCCAAAAACCATCTAATTTGGAAAAAAATCGCAGACTAGGTAGACTTTGAACACCGAAAAGTAATGATCGAAGTTAGAAGTGTGTCCGGTACTGTTTTTAGGATCCGGCCGGATACAGGATAGTGACGTCGGGTATCCGTCTGTGTCGCGTAATTCTACCAGAGAAAAACGAAAAAACCAACACCAACAATAATAATTTAATAGGTAGAACAAAAAAAACTACATAATGAAATTTGGTAATTAAGACTATTGGGATAGGTCGTTTGTCCTAACTTGTAGTATTTTTTAATTACTATACTAAATTATTTGTTATTTCGATATAGTTCTTGTGTTTACGTTTTCTTGTG